AGCAACCCTGTCTAGGGTTTCCGAGGAGCAGCTCGTGAGTTTGAACTGCTGACCTTGTGGTGCAAACCCATCTTGGGGTCTAGAGCGTTGTCCCGCAGCACCACACCAGGAAGAAAACCTGATGGAATGCAGGGATATGGGGATGCTATGAGCCAAAGGAGCTCTGGTAGCATAGTGGTTACGAATTGGGCTGCGAACCTTAAGGTCAGCGGTTCGAAACTACAAGCCGCTCTGTGGGAGAAAGATGAGGCTTTCTACTCCCATAAAGATTTACACCCTCGGAAACCCTGTACAGGGTCGCTATGGGTCGGACCCGACTCGACGGCACTTAACAACAACAACAACATGAGCCAAACTCAACAATAACTGTTATATTAGTATTATTATTTTCGTTTTATGTGATTGGTATCTATATAAAGAAGACCCAGAGATATACAGAAAGAAACCACTGCCGTTAAAGAAAGTAAACCAAGAAACAAGTTGTTGTTGTTAAGTGCTGTCAAGTTGGTTCCGACTCATAGCGACCCTATATAGGGTTTCTGAGGAGTGACTGGTGAGCTTGAACCACCAACCTTGCCGTTACAACTGACCTTTAAGAGAGACAAAAAGGATCTCTCGTGAGACCCTTCAGAGAGAACAAGACCTGGCTTCTAGCCTGGCTTCTGGCTCCCAGCGGAAGAATTGTCAAACAGTAAATGTGGCTCGGGCTGCTGCAGGTCCCAGGGCAGTTCAGCTTCCAAATCCTGAAGCTTCAAGCTGCAGGCTTCAAGAGAACGTGAAAAATGACTCCCAATCTCATTGCTTCCTCACTGGCTTAAAGTCACTATGGAGTCCCTTAAGGACATATTTGGAAGATGGTAGTGTCTATGGAGTCCTGGTGTGGCGCTGTGGGTTAATGCGCCAGACTGCAAAGCTGTTTGAACTGTAAGGTTGGTGGTTCAAGCTCACCAGCTGCTCCTTGGGAACCCTATACAGGGTCGCTATGAGTCAGAATCGACTCGACGGCACTTGACAACAACAACAACAACAACAACAGTGTCTATGTGGGAGGCATGGTCCCCGAGTCCTGGAGCAGCGGCTGTCTGGCAACTCAAATGCTTCCTGCTCTTTACAATTTCTTCTTGGATTTTATTCAGCAGATACTGATCTTGTACCTCTAGAATACACACACTGCCATCAGGTCATCCCCAACAGATGGCAACCTCTGCTCACGGCGGAAACCAGGCACGAATCAATGCTGTCCAGAGCTGCACCAGCCCCATGCCCAGCTGAGTATCTAACAACGCTTTGTTGTAACCCTAGTATTTTTATTGGCTGTTTTTTTTTTTAATGTTTTATTGTGAATTATGTGATAGTTTACATGGGAGAACATTAGTTTTACATTCATCCTATCGTATATTGTTTCATTGCCATGGTTATAAACCGCTCCATGCATCATCAACCAACCAAAGGGTATACACTGCAAGCCTGCCCCCCGGTCATCAGCACACAGCCCCCCTGCCTCTCTGTGTCTAAAGTCCCCAGTTGCTCCATCTCTCCACTTCATCGTCTCTGCCTCCATCTCTGGCATCACTGCTTCTCTGGGTAGGGTCCAGCACTCCGCTCTTCTCCCTTGACGGTCCTAGACTGCAAAGTCAATCACTCCCCTCCTTTTGCTAGAAAACATCTACCTTTACATTTCCAACCCTCACAGTCAGTCCTGATAACAATGATTCACTATTGTACCACAAGGCACCCCATCTCCTTTCATTAAACCCGCCTAGACTCTACTCAGTGGAGATTCTACCTTCCTCCACATCCTCTGGATCTAGGCTCCCTCTTGTAAGCTTGTAAGCCAGTCACTTCTTGCCTTTGTAGATCCCACCCCTCCATTTTGGGTAGCCAATGTCCAAGTTGCCCATTCCTGTCTACTGTGTGTATGGAGGGGGTGGGAATGATCCTTGCTATAAAGATTTGTTCCCCCTTTTGAACTACTGCATCCATAGGTGTAGGTCAAGTTCATCAAATTGTATCAGATTACTCTTTTTTTCCTCTTCTTTCTTCTTCTAGTTGAGCTCTGATCATCCAGTCATTGAAGCCAGGATAAGTGGGTATTACCTGCAAGTGTGGGTATTCTTGTGTATATGCCCTCTCTTCTTTAACAGCTGGACGCTTCACTCTCCACTCTAGTCCTCTGTGGCTATGTCACTGACTCTGGGCCCAGGAGTCCCCAGGTCTTGTACTGGTCGGTTTTTGAAAGCAGATGGCCAGGTCTTTCTTCCTTAGTCTGAAAGCTCCTCTGAAACTGTTTGTTGTACTGTGGTAGCTTGAGCGTTGCTATGTTGCAGGAAAATGATGCCACCCCTGGTGGACAGGTTGCAGCATAGTTTCCAGAAAAAACAGAGAGGCCCTGGCAACCTACTTGTGGAAATTATCCAATGAAAACTCTATGGATCCATAAAGTGTTTGAAGATGAACCCAAACATGTCAATGATCATAAAAATGGTTAATAACAGAAAGAATCATTGCACACGAGGTGCCATGTGTTGGAGTTAACTAAGTGCATCTAACAAGTAATATCCAATCCTTGTCACAATCTAGTTGGGAAGACAGGTATTCACGAAGGTAAATAAAAATACAAGCAATGACACACACCGAATGGGGGAGGCGTTTCTCTGTGGTAAAAAACTTCCTGAAGCCCATGGGGAGCTGTGGGTCTTGAAGGCTGTTGTTGTTAGGTGCCTTCGAGTCAGTAATGACTCATAGTGACCTTATGCACAGCAGAACAAAACACTGCACGATCCTGGGCCAACCTAACTATTGTTGCCATGCTTGAGCCCACTGATGCTGCCACTTGGCCAGTCCATCTCGCTGGAGGGCTTCCTCTTTTTCTCTGACCCTCCACCCTATCAAACATGATCTCCTTCTCCAGAGACTGGTTCCTTCTGACAATATATCTGAAGTATGACAGATAAAGTTTGGCCATCCTAGCCTCCAAGGAGCACTCTGGCTCCACTTCTTCCAACACAGATCTGTTGGTTCTTTTGGCAGCCCATGGCACTTTGAATATTCTCCTCCAACATCATAACTCAAATGTATCAATTCTTCTACGGTCTTCCTTATTCACTGTCCAGCTTTTGCATGCATATGAGGTTATTGAAAATACCATGGTTTGCATCAGGTGCACCTTAGTCTTCAAGCTGACATCTTTGCTCTTCAACACTTTAAAAAGGTCTTGTGAAGCAGATCTGCCTAATGCAAAATGTCGTTTGATTTCTTGACTGCTGCTTCCATGAATGTTGATAGCTAATCCAAGAAGAATGAAGTCCTTGATAACTTCAATCTTTTCTCCACAGATAAGAATGTCATTTATTGGTCCAGTGGTGAGGATATTTGTTTTCTTAACATTGAGATGAAATCCATACTGAAGGCTGTGCTCTTTGATCTTCATCAGTAAATATTTTAAGTCCTCTTCACTTTCAGCAAGCAAGGTTGTATCATCTGCATATCT